AGAAACCATCCAAAAATACTCTACCTAGTTCAGAAATATAGTAAGCTAAATTAACACTATGGGATAATTGGATCAAGTTGCCTATTTCATTAATAGCCTAAAGCCTGCAATATATATGAAAGTAAGTTACCAAGCTTTAAAAACATTGGATAATACATGAAAATTAGTAATCAAGTATGATATTACTATATTTGGAGTAGGAAAGTCTACCAATAGAAAAAACACTACAAGAAGATTACTAGTTAGCAACAACTACTATAGAAGAAACCACCTGCTAAATTGGATCAAGATGAAACCTGATGATATAATCACAATTACAATGATTACACCCAACATCCTAGAAGAAACAACAATGCTGAAAGAAGAACTATTTCCTGCTACAACTATAAAAAGGAAGGACACATTGCTCATGAATACAGAAGTCCATCAAAAGCCAAGGTAAGCAATATTGAAGATACTTCATATATTTCAGATGCTGAATTCATTCAAATAGAAGAAAACAAGGAACAGTTGCTACATTTCAATAAGAAAATTAATGAATACAAAACCTGAATTCTCTTGGATAGTGGAGTATTAAAGAATTTTATTAATGAAAAGTTTATTGCAAGATAACAGCTGCCATAAAGGAATACCACTTCATTTACTATAGAACTTGCTGATGGAAGAAAGAAAGAAGTCACCACTGAAGTCAATATCAAGCAATTAGAATTAAATACTTATTATACTACTGGAATCTCTGCTCAAATTCTAAGCCTACAAAGATATAATGCCATACTTGAAAAGCTTTGGTTGTATCATATCAATCCTAATATCAATTGGAAAAGCAACATCCTCACCTTTCAATATAGACTGTGCACCATTACTGTTAATACTAGTCTATGTAAAACTAAGCAAGAATCTGAGTACCAATCTCTTTTTATCTTCAGATACTAATTTGCAAGAATTTTATCTACTGAAAAACTATTAGTTATCTGTGTCATCATTGTTAAAAAAGTCATACTCAAGGAAATCAAGTTTGCTGAAGAAGCTCTATTATCAAGAAATTTATTAATGTATTTTCTTCTGAATTGTCAAACAAGTTGTCACACTAAAAAACCATTGATCATGTTATAGATTTGCTGCCTGGAGCTGAACTACCCTTCAAACCTACCTATTGCCTCTCATATGTGGAGATGGATAAACTCAAGAAACAACTTGCCAACCTCCTTGCCAAAGGATTCATTAGATCCAACATTTCTCCATTTGGTGTCTCTATGCTTTTTGTATATAAAAAAAAAGGAATATTGAACCTTTGTATGAATTACAGAGTCTTAAACAAAGTCACTATTAAGAATTAGTATCTATTACCATATATAAAGAAATTAATGGATCGCTTAGCTGGTATCAAATATTTCTCAATATTGACCTCTACTCTGGTTACTATCAGATTCACATCAAAGAAGAAGATATTCACAAGACTGCTTTTAGAGTCCACTATGGATATTATAAATTCTTAGTCCTCCCTTTTGAATTGACCAATGCCCTTTCCACCTTCATAACTTTGATTAATGATATCTTTTGCACATACCTGGATGACTTTGTAATTGTATACCTAGATGATATTTTAATTTATAACAAGATAAAAACTAAGTACCTACAACATCCGAAAACTATACTAACAACCTTATAAAAATACCATCTATATGCTAAAGCTAGCAAATGTGAACTTTTTCAACAACATATAGAATATATAGAATATTTCATCTCTGATAAAGGAATAGCTGTTGACCCACATAAAGTAGAAACCATTAACAACTAGCCCATACTTATCAATACTTTAGAAGTTAGATTCTTTCTAGGACTAGCAAGCTACTATCACAAGTTTATATCTATATTTTTTGCAATAGCTATATCCCTTATTACCCTCCTTCACAAAGATAAAGCCTTTAAATAGATCAATGAAGTCCATTATGCCTTTGACATCTTGAAGAAAAAACTAACTACTACATCTGTTCTCCTGTTGCCTGATCCTGCCAAACTATTTATTGTAACAACCGATACCTCAGACTTTACAATTGGAGCTGTCTTGACACAAGATCAAGAAAATGAAGAACAATCTCCTGCTGAGCAAAATCATGCCATTCATAAAAAGAAACTTCTAACCATTGTACATGCTATTAGAACTTGGAGAATGTATTTAAAGGGACAACAGTTTACCATTATCACTGACTATATTTCATTAGAGTATATCAAGACCCAATCCAACTTGTCAAAAAGACAAACTCACTGGTTAGAAACCCTTCAAAGTCACAACTTCATAGTTAAATACTGGCCTGGGAAAATAAATGTTATAGATGATACCCTATCAAAACAACCACACCTTGTTTTCATTACTACTTTTTCTGTTACCCTTGCCAATAATTAAACTTTTCTATAAGTATATCAACAAGACAAGTATTTTGCCATCATCCTTGATATATTGCAATACCCTGATCAAGCTGAGAAATAAGAAAAAAATTATATCAAACATTTCATCTGGGAGAATCAAAGAATATACCTTCGTGAAGAACACTATCTAGTCATTCCTGTTGACAAACACGTCTGCACCTATATCCTCAGAGAGTACCATAACATTGAAGCTACTGAACATTTGGGAATTGATAAGACCATTGAAAATATCATGAGAACCTTCTACTGGACAAATATGGGAAAAGACATTCGTAAATATATTCAAATTTGTGATACCTGCCAAAGAAAGAAAGCTAGCAATCAATAACCTGCTGAACTCCTTTAACTATTGCCAACACTTATCAAGTGATAGGAAGAAGTTATCATGGATTTTATTGTACAATTGCCTCTGATAAGACAAGGATATGATGCCATTGTTGTGTTTATAGACTGCCTCTCTAAGTGAGCATACTTTTAACCTATGCATATATCTGCTATAGCATCAGAAGTTACCAACATCTTCTTTAACACCATCTTTAGAAACCATAGGTTGCCAAGGACTATCATATCAGACTGAAATGCAAGATTCACTAGCCAATTCTGGCAAGCTGTATTTAAACACTTAAGAATCAAGACTATCATATTTATTGCCTTTTATCCTTAAACAGATGGGTAAACTGAGCAAATAAATAGAACCTTAGAAGAAATGCTTAGGGCCTACTCTATCTATAAACAAGACCAATGGAATGAATACCTCCTAGCCACTGAATTCATATATAACAACTCAAAGCAAGCCTCTACTGGATTCATACACTTTGAATTAAACTGTGAACAACATCCAACCCTCCCAATTATCATGATAACAATTGTAACAATCAATATACCTGCTGCAGATGATTTCTTATACCACTGGAATATCATGATTGAATTAGTCAAGGACACACTTAGAGAAGCCCAGGAATGACAAATAAAGTATGCTAATGAATATCACTATCATCTTATATTCAAATTAAGAGATCAGGTCCTGCTTAACATGAAGAACACCAATTCATCTATATATAGACACTGATCTATCAAGAAATTAACATCAAGATATGTTGGAACTTATACTATCTGTAAAATTATCTTCCTAACTGTATACAAATTGAACCTGCCATCTAGCATAAAAATTTATCCCGTATTTTACATCTCTCTGTTGAAACTATATCAATCATTATCTGTGATTTTCTCTGAGAAATTTTATCACCACCAGTCATCTACTTTGATAATGAACAAGAGGAATATGAAGTTGAAGCTATTTTGAACAAAAAAACTATCTATAAGAAAATTCAATATCTAGTCAAATGAATAGAGTATCCCCTTCATGATGCTATTTGGATCTCTAAGGATAAATTAACCAATGTAATGCAATTAGTAAAAAAATTTGAAGAGATGAGGATGTTTTACTCTTAAGAGAGGGAGAATATAACAATCTGAGCCTACTACCCACTTTCACTAAGAGTACCGAGATTATTGAGCTATTATCATGATGCCAAAATGATATCACAATCATACCATATAGATTATCTGGACTTGTTTACTATAAATAGTAATTAACTATCAGACTATAATGAATAAGGCATCAATTATTTCTTTTTATTTTATTTCTTTTCTTTTATTTTTTATTTATAATTAGCTGCATATTATATAAGTAGTCTAGACTATAAGCCATATAATTTATGTATTTTTAGTCCTATATACTTTATATTTATTTTACGCTACTCTAAAATGTATAAAAAGGCTATTTTTCAACTTTAATAAAGATAACTCTTTTGCACATTAAACTTATTGCTTAAGAATTCACTGACTCTAATATATCTATTTCAAGTCTTTTATACTTTTTTTCTTATAAATATTTTCAATCTTTTTTTTTTCATTTTATCTTCCTTCTTTTTTTTTCTCTTTTTTTTAGTACTAACTAGTTCTTATAAGTATAGGAAATCCTTAGTATCAGTTGATATTGAATATTTTAGGTATGTCCTGATATGTTAAGCCCCTTTAATAGATAACAATAAGCTGATCAGTGGATAAAATTTCTAATAATATCTAACTTAAGGTAGGAAGAAATTAGCAATATATGAATAAGTATATCTGATCAATCTTCTTTTGATTTTTAGAAGATATATTTACACTAAATAATTATATACTATATTTTTTATATTTTGATCAGATTAAATTTAGATTGAGTTATATAAGTAGATAGTACTCTATACTATTTTCTTTTTAATGATCTATAAATCTTCAAACAATATGAAAAAATATTTATTCCAATTGTTATTAAATATAATTTTCTTTTAATAAAGTTATCAAGAGTAATATATAATAAACCAGTTTTTTTTAAAAAAATAATAAATTTATATATGGCTATAACGAATTCTTTAATTATAGTACCTTATTATTATTAAAAAACTCTTTCTACTGATTTTCTAATCATATATGAAAAAAATATTTACAAAAAGTTTTTATACTTCTTGATTAATAAAGTTTTTTACTTTTCTTAAAACAATTTGAAACTTGTCTTTAAGAGTCACTACTATCCTTTTTTACTTGTTTACAAACTTTTTTAAACAAAATCTTGAATCTTTAATAATCTAAATAGACTCAAAGATGTACTTTCTCTACTAAAGACAAAAAGATTTTAGGATGTAAAAGGATTAATTGATAAAGTGTTATCTTTAAAGCTGGAAGCAATATGAAAATATAAGTTTTCTAGATAAGAAAAGATTTATTATTTATTTTCTCTTATACTATTTCTTACTCTTTTAGAATATTTATACTATAGCTTCTAATTGGTTGATACAAAATATATTATTAGCAAAATGTAAACAAGGTTTTATTGATCATATTTACATGTTCTGATAATATTATTGATGATAGGAAGAGTTGATTAATACTTCATTTCTAATTACTTTTTCAATTATATTAATTTACAGATCAGTTTTTAGATGATGAAAAAGCTACTATTTGTTCAAGTTA